TTCCAGCGCCATACAACCAGCACATATGCGCAATTGCAATGACAAGAAGTAGTATTTTGGACTTTTTTCTTTTTTATTTATCCAACGCCTCCTTCTCCCTCTTGACGTATTTAGCATTTGGAGCCGGGTCCAATAAATAATGGCTATTCTGTATGTTTCAACCATAGGTACCACTTGTACGGAGGCTCAGATGGTCTACATCCACACCCTCCGACGGGCAAACAGGACACTGGTGAGCCGATAATACCAAACCACGTGGTAGTAACGTAGCAATGACTGAAACTATATTGGCTTAACGTAAACAATGTGGCTGTCCTCAACTCAAACTGATCTGGCAAGGTGCAACGAATATTATCCAATTAAGGCAACTTCCAACCAAGATTTCGAATGCTAAGTATGAAAATTAATATTTCCTTCACGTTTTCACAATGAGCGAAGTCATATGATAAACATTTGATCCAACCTTTGAAGAAAATCATTTGTTGAGTCGCGTAGAGGAGGAGTAAATAATGAACTATCTGATCAGCCTATACACCAAACCAAAATACTAAACAGTGCACAAGTTAAGCCAACTTAACTTAATTAATTTACCTTATTCATCATATAATGATAGTATTACGTTCAACTACGGCCAAAACTTTATGGTTTCATGGCTTAAACAGTACAGTTTTTAAAGAATATATCGAATCGAGTTAGGAGGAAAGCAGTTTCTTTCGTGTAAAAAGAAATAGGAGCTTTTCAACAAGGATTAAAGACTTATCACCCACAATTTAAGTTTCTTATAATTAGTTTAAAATATATTTTGAAGAGAGGAATGCTTGGGCTGATCAGTAAAAAAAAACTAAATAGTATAAATAAATATACTTATTTATTTTTACTATTTTTTGACTGGTCACCTTAACTATTCTTCTACACAATCTGCCACATTCAAGGTCAATAAGCTAAAAGTATCCACTCCTACAATATATACATATATGATAAATAAATGAAGGTAATTAAAGAAAAATAAATAAATAAAATTCTTCTAAGGCTCATTCACACCTATATAAAATATTTACATTTGCCCAAGAGACTCCGAGCCAGACTGTCTTCAACGTGTGGGAGACAAAGCTTGGCTCCACAAGGTCCCAGCGCTTCCCTTTTAGCTATGTCACTGGACCTGAGGCCAGTAGGGACTGGAAGAGGGCTCTTGAGCCACAAACATCCAGGCATTGAGTGGTAAAGCTGGCAATTACCAGGACTCTATTAGCATATTTACTAGAGGTCTCGAGGCCACTGCCGTTTCAGCCTCCGGAGAGGATTATAGGTATGGTTGGAGCTAGATAGGGATTGAGCTAGAGGATTGTTTTGGTGAATAAAGTTCTGGTGAAATTTTGTAAATCGGGATGGGATGATGTCAAGGACATATGGGATGTTAAGGTCATGGTGCAGGGTCTTGTTTGTGACATCAAATGGAGAGTTAACTATTGTTCGAAGTACTTTGGACTGGAAGAAATGAATATGTTTGATATTCGAAAATTTAGCTGTCCCACGCAGTTCAAGTCCGTAGATCCAGATAGGTTTCAGTACAGCCTTGTAGACTAACAGCTTGTTTTCATTAAAATTACAAATAGATTTTGAAATAGTAAATCGTAAACTTGAAATAGTAAATTGTTGATTTTTTTTTTTTTACATTAATCATAACTATGAACATCTACTATTCCATCTGAGCTGAATACTTAAACAATCACTATGGATTCACTTTTAAAATTATAACGCCTGTACTTCAGAGAATAAAATCACGTCAAGAAAAATATAAAATTGTATCCCTAAGCATTATTTTTTCTGTAATTACCGTTAGGGCAACATGGACTCCAAGATTATACTAACACATTTATCAAACACGATGCAATCAATAAAAAATATCAATATTCTTCTAATATCTGGCAGTAAGAAATAAACTTCATATTTATTTTCGAGTAACTATCAATAAAATATCCTGTTCAAAACATAATATAACTTTTATTCCATGGCGAATAATTAAAATAATGAAACAGTACAATAGAAAAAAAAAAAGAAAGAGTATCTATAAAACATAATAATATAGATAATCTATAATAGATTTTTATCACAATAATAATGAATTAAAAGCACAACAAAAACAAAGATTGCAACATTGCAACATAAGACCACGAACTCCTACCTGCTACAAAAATATGGTCAGTTGAAATATACATCATAAGATAGGATAAATAAGAAGAAAAAATAATATAGATTTTTAAAAAATACTAAGCAAGAAAAAGAATTTTTCAAAACAAATCTTACAACAAATTACAATAACCTTACTACAACGACAATAGAAATCATTGAAAAAATTAGAAGGTTTTAAATATTGTGGCGCGGACATCATGATCTAGGATAGTCCTTTAGAACACTAGCGGATCCAGAATTTAATTTTGAGGGAGGGGGCTTCAGGCTTCAGCCCGGAAGGTTTTTTTATAACAAAAATAACGATAATTATTTTAGAAAAAAAGAAAGAAACTAACTACCTATATGAAATGGTGTTTAAGTGTTTCCTAAAGTCCTTTTAAATGTAATTACACGAACAATAATACTTTAAGAGATAATGTTTTAATATTTTTTCCCATAAAACAGAGTTATATTTTTACATTTTGGGGCAGGGAGGGGGCTTCAGCCCCAAAGCCCTCCACCGTAGATCCGCCGGTGCTTAAGAACTAAACTGGGCCCTGTGCTTCAAAGCCCTAAAATGCAACGTTTTGTGAACAACGAATGGGTTCAACTATATTCTAGCGATAGAGAACATGGATAATTAATCATATAAAAATAAAAATATGATTTAATTATATATTATTTCTTGAAGTTCATATATATATATATATATATATTATATATATATTATATATATATATATATATATATATATATATATATTATATATATTTTTTTTGGTACGCCATATATTCCATGATCTAATGATTGAGCTAACATTTTAAAGATTATGCTTGGGAAACATCCCAAAAAAATTCTTTGAAAACGTTAAGAAGAAAAAGAAAGTTTGCATATAATTCAAAAGTATGGAATTTATGATTAATTACACCCACGAATATTTAAAAAGTTACTCAATTCTATACAACAGAAAGCATAAAAAAAAAAAAAAAAAAATCGAAATCAGACCTTTATTAAAAAAGATACAGACTATAGTATACAAACATTTTAGTTTATTATGATAAATGGATTATTATAATTCGACTGAGAAAATGAAAAGGAATTCCTCCATCCCCTAATAAATTGCATTAACTAATTTCTATATTACATTCTTTCGTTGACCAATATATTAATAATTAATTATTTCTACCAATAATTGTTGCTAGAGAGTGTTAAATAACTAAAGAAACATTTACAGAAATATTCAAGTAAACATCGTGTAGGACAAACAGTCTGCGACGAAACTATTCTCATAAATTCAAATTGAATATTGTCGTATGTGTTTACCGACTCAATTGGATTTACCATGAGATTACATGGTTCATCACGCGACACTGTCGAGGGAAGCCATGGAACAAGAGTCACATGTCGGGGCATTAGCATAGCTAGTCGAAGCCATCCCACTGCCCGCGGGTTGGATAATGCATATATAATCACTATTTCAAATCCACCTTTGCTAAAAAATAAATGTAATCCAATATCCTAGCACAAAGGATTATTACATGAACTGGACAGAAATAAAAATAAATATGAGAGGATCACAATCCTTTGTAGGATCTGGGTTCAGTAAATATTATGATGGCATTATTGTTTAATGAAAATATGATCTAATATTTGAGCCTCAAGGGGAAAGTAAATAAGATGCAGTGTAAGAAAGAAATAACTTCGGAGCGAGATGTAATTACATAAATAAATACGTAACTACGGTTTGTTTATTACGACTTTATACTCTTCAGGACGTCTACAGCAGTAAACATTCAAAAATTATTATAAACATCATAACCAAACAAGTGAATAACGTCCAAGTGTACATCGTTTACACATAACAAATAGAAAACAATAACAAACAATGATTAATTATTTTAGCATTATGTTTATCAATCTTTTCGATGATATAAAGAACGTTATGAAATGAACGACCAAGAGGATAAATATTTAAGTTTTCACATCATAGATATCTAAGTATTATTTATAATACATATTATAAAACGGCGCAATGATTTCACAAGGGTAGACGAACTGTCAAGGGCAGAGGGAATACTTCCGTAATCAAAATGTATTCTCAGCCTTGATGACTAATAAAAGAGTTATAATTATCAGCAGTGTTGTCAAAAAACAGTCATTAACAATATTATGAGATTATTTTTTTAACTATAAGATAAAAGGGAAAATATACTAATCATTCATATTTTTTTTACATTAATTCAACGAATTAAAAATAATTTACATTAATAAAAGGAACAAAAGAAAATGCATTTATTATATTTTATACTATATTTTTTAATTATAAACAATGCGTCAAAAACTCAATTTATTTAAGTATCGGTGTCTTTTGAATTTCGTGTTTCCCTTTTTAATATAGTTTATATCTTTAAAAAAAAAAATTCTACAATTTTATTTGTTGTATTTATAATTATATAAATTTTATAATGAAAAATAATTCCATGAAAGTAAAATGATAAGATTATAACAAGCACTTAAACCAGACAAAGAGTAAAAAGATATTAATTTACTCTTGTGAACTACTTAATTATTTTTTTAAACCGAAATTATCGAAAAAACTGTCTAATACAAAACCGTAGCTACATATTTTTTCTTTATTTATTAAAAACACAAAACAGCAAATAAGTTTATAATCCTAACTCTTAAACCATGGCACGTTGCAAGAGATTTGTCTTTAAGAACTGTTGCATACTTATAAGTTACAAATTCACGTGATTTAAATTGTTTGCACTGTTGGAATTTTAAAAAAATAAAGAAAACTATAAGAAACAAAATACTAATGCTAGACTTACGGAGACATTAGTGGCCAATGAAAGAAGCCCACAGGCCGCCATCCGCTCATCCACTCCCATTGGGCACAAGAACCAAACTAAACCACCTGGAGCTCGGAGCCGTGGAGGGGAGGGGTGACGTGACGTCACGGCTGTCTAGCGGGTTGTCAGCTGCCTCTCCCCACCACCGTCCTCACCAAACTCTTGACATTAAAATGTCCCGAGAAACAGGTCAATCCTCGGGTGAACAATATATCGTAGGAAGGAATGATAAAGCATTATATATAACTCGCACACACAAATCCAATGACACGATTGCTTATAAAGAAGTGACACGAATGAAGCAAATTCTTTTGAACTTATGTTATCATCACGGATAAAATACAATAAATAAATATAACTACATACAATTACATTACCTTTTTCCGTTGTAACAACTTAACATAAAAATTACTGAACGGATCGTTATTTTAGCCAATTGTTAAGAGTTGTTACTGGATTTTAAGCTATTAGAACTGGATTAGAGGATTTTGCAAGTATAATAGTTTAGAGAGTATAACAAGTGTTTTTAAAAATATTGTAGTTTAAAAACGAAGAATGCAGTGAAGAGCATTCGAGAAGAAATTCAAACTAAATCAAAAAATTAAACATCAACACAAAATGGATAAGTTAAGTAAAACGAAAGGTAAAGTTCTTAAACTAAGCGCTGGGCTCATCAATCGATTTAATCACCGCACCGTTGGCTCGGCAATTAAGTTAGCTATTTGGGTTCGATGGATCCGTTGAATGTAACCTCGTTATAAACTCAGTATTGTTATTTATTAATTTATTTTGCGCATTCAGTTTGATGTTATCTATGCTTATTTATGTTTAAATTTATGTATGTCTAAATTCAACAATTCACTAGGTATATATTCCTGTTTTATATTTTTCAGTTTTGAAACTCAGCATAAATAGTAGGAATTTGTCTGAAATTCCCAATCAAGCTATGATCATCGGAATGAATAAAAATAATAATACCAACTGATTTTTCATTCATTAAAAAAAGTATCCATACATTCGAAATATTATTATTGTTATTAATATGAAATCTATTTAAATAAATCAATTACTCTCGTGAAAAAATAATAATAAAAAAATATAATATCCACGGATCTATAAGGCATTATACTCTGATTACGTTGATTATTCTCAGAATTATCGTTCTAATAATTAATACTTGTAATTAATTAATATCGGCATTGATTGAAAACTTATCCAAATTACAAATATTTAAATATTTGCTAACCAAAACATAGCTTTTAATAAATTCTATTATGCTGAATTCAAGGGTCGGTAGTACTCATTAAAAAATCTTGAACGGTGCGCGTATCACACAACTTTCACTTAGCAACATTCGAGCCCATAAGTATTTTCATGTGTATGGAAGTCAAAATGAAAACGAAGGTATAACTTAAAACAACTAATTACCATGTTTTTTTCCGCTAATCGAATAGGTTAAATTTACACGTTTAAATCACTTTCCATTTATTTTTAAGACTGTTTATATTATTAAACAATTTTAATTATTGTGAGGAAAATGGATCCTTTGGGAAAATTATGAGTTTATTCGGAAACAAATATCACAAATCTCTTCAAGAAAATAACTGTGTATAAATGTCGTGTATTTATTAGGTTTATATTCGTAAATCCTCAACATTTGTCCCGACAATTTTAAAAAAGTAATATGGATAAGTGATATAATAAAAGGTTATTCACCTTGTTACTAGCGCTAGGTTACTGTGAGTGTAACTACTAATTTTACTAATTAATTAGTATTTACTACTAACGTTAGGGACACACATCGCAATGTTTTATAAAACGACTTTATTCCGACACTAAGGTCTAATAAGTCCTACTGCGATTTCTTTTTGTCATAGCAGTCTTCCTCTTCGCTGCTGCTGCCTCAGGTGTACCTCCCATCTATCATTTTCCGGTCGACCTCTCATCTTCCTTTCTGGTACATGTTATCGATCGTCTATCATTCCCATCATATACCCAAAACATTTCAGCTTTTTTGTCACAATGGAATATAGGATGTTATGGGTTCTTTCACTTTTACGTACCTAATGACGTTGTTTGGAACGTGTAATCTGGAGATTCTACAGCTTCGTCTAAAAAAATCCATTACCATTGACAACTTTTCTTTCCAAGGTGGTTGAGATAGTCCAGGTTTCTGAGGCATACAGTGCCTATAACAAATAATTGGTAGAGTCTCCCTTATGATTGGAATTAACTATATTATTGATTAAGTACTGATTGATAATTATATTCAGAAATCTAATATTTTTTTTCTTATATTACATTTCTGAGATATAAGAGATCACGGAAAGATAATAAATAAGTTATAAGTTCATTTCTGGGACTTCTATATTTATAGAGACGGCGAAGCTCTGAATCTCGCAAGCGAAGTTCTATATTTATAAAGAGCGCTAGATTCTGATAAAAAAAAAGGGTAATCTTATGTCAATTGAACCAGCCATGCCACCACCCACCATTCCACCCACACACTTCACACATTTTGATGGTGCTTGGCAGGATTGATTCTATTACTGTCCTCACAAAACCTATCACTCCTCCCCCCTCCCACACAAAAAATTAAGCTTTCCTATTTTTTTTATAACTTTAATTTCTTTAACATTTCTATTAATTACATTTTCTGTTAAAATTAGTTTAATTGGCCAGCACAGTCCTCAGTGTTCCTGTCAATAGATGATTTATTACCAGTCATTCTGTAATTTTCCATTGGACAAAACTTGTATCGTATTCAAGATCGTCACTTCAAAAAACAATGATTATTTATGAAATTTTACTCTGCATTACTTAAACGAATTGCTAAGAGTCTATTCCTATTGTTTAATTTGAATTTCGTTTTGAATAATATATGATTAGCTTTCAGTAAAATCCACTAACACTACTCTAGCAGTATTGGATGGTGGACTTTTTATCAGTCGCTTGAAATCTGATAAATGCTATTTGAAAAATGAGTTAAATTCTCGATCAAGTATTATTTTAAATAATATTGTAAAAACTGAAGGCTCTTGGAAGAAGAGGAAAAAGTATTAATTAGTATAAAATGTAATAATAACATAACAAAATATTCTTGCGTGAGGCAAAATTATTAAACGTGTTAAAAATCCATTAATATTTTTCATTTAACTATATGTTTTAGACTATTCTAAATCAAATTTGAAAATATATAAAAAATAATTTGATTATTTTTAGTTTTTTCGGGATGGGAATAAAAAGTATTTTTCTCTGCATTTAAACATAATACACACATTTCCAAGACATAAGAAATTCTCAAGTTTTCAAGAAAAATATTCTTAAACTTGAGAGTGCACGAAAAACACACCCCCAGACCTCGCAAAACACATAATTAATAAAAAGGGTAAAATTTTTAAATATTAAAAATCATTGGGTATCATCAAAATCTGAAGAGGTGCGTGTAATGAAGGGTGATTTGAAATAGAGTTACCCAAACTTATTATGTTCTATTGTCAATCACACATATATTGTGTACCGAAATGAAATATTGAAATTCGGAAACATTTGAAAAAGGGATTCTCTCTTAGAGCATTATTTTCCAGGTTCAGGAAATTCAATAAAAATAAAAGGAATTAAATAAACAAAAAAATACAAATTTTTATTTATTTTACAAACTGATATAAAGTACTAATTTATTTAATTTTTTATGAAATTTATTATTTTAAAAATCTGTAGTTATATCTAAATCATATAAATCCATTTTATATAAGCAGTCTGTTTTAAAAAAAAAATTGTGTTTTGAATGATTTATGGTAAAAGTTATGAGATATTTTCAAGGAAAAAGTCATATTTCGTTCTCTCTCGAACAATTTTATAAATAGGAGCACTGAAAGTCAGAGTTACTACTTTACAATATAATTTACAATGATTGTAGTGGTATTAATAATTTGTCCCTTAGTTTTCCGAAAACTGTTGTAATTCTCATGATATTTACACTACAACGTGACGGCAAATTTTAGTTGAGTCCTTGATCTTTTATAAAATAAATTGAATTTTTATACAGGTATAACTTATAGCATGTTTCTTTTCCTTTGAGTTTAAACATTCAATAGAACACAGGAAGCTAGAATTAATTGAATTAAACTAATAAAGAAATCATCATTTTTATCATCTTCTTATCCCAAAAAATGTAGATAAAAAAAACTTTATCTTCTCGGTATCAGGTGACTGTAATCTATCTGAAATAAATATTAGATAGCGATCTCAGTAGATAAAATGTTATCTAAGTTTCTAAAAGTTTGAAGTAAATTCAAAGCTGATAAAGTATTATATAAATAATAATATTCACATTTATTTATATTAATTTAGGAACCGTGGTATGAATGGACCACACTGGGATCACTAAACATAAAAACAAAAGAAGGCATTAATTGATAACAGGAGATATCATGCGGTTGGAGCACAGTACTGATTTCGCCTCCCGAGAATACCATTACTGTTCAGTGTTTCTGGAAATCCTATCTATTAATAATACGAATGGAAAACAAAGAATAATTTATTAAATAACAATTAATAATGTTAATTTTATTTTTCCTTCTAATTTTAAACAATAGAATTTTATACTTTGTATACAAATGTTCAAAACAGTCTTTATCATTTTCTTTATCCCTTTCTAACGCGTCAAGATACAATGTTGAATAATAGCTCATAACCAAGCCCGGATTTTTATGCAATTGCGTATTTTGTTTGCGTTATTTTTCTTAACCGCTGTTCAAATATCTACACGAATTAGTACACTGTGGTGCAATTAGCCAAATTTTATTTTGCATATTAGAGGATATATGTATATAATTTCAAATTTGAAGATAAATGCATATTTTGATTAATTTAATGAAATAAACAAAACATATATATGTAAATGAATATTTATTTATTTATATATACAAATTAAAATGCAATATTGAAGATGCTATTCGAGATTACAATCATAGGTTTATTTTCAATGAATAAAATCTAAAACGTTTGTAAACTGTATACCTACCATCATCAGCTATAGCCTTTAATAATTCCCTTTATGGATGTTCTCCAATTCCTAGAAATCCACTTTCCCTTCTTGTCACACGTAAACATCATACTAAATTTATATTTTTAGATTTTTGCCTACATTCTTAGCAAGAGATCATATATCATATTTCTGTTCATTTAAAATGCCAAAAGTATCTTCATCATTTTCATCTATGTTGAAATCCTGGATTGAATCTTAAAACAACAAGCATGAAATAGTTTTTACAACTGATGGGAAACCAGTGGTAGCAGACCAAGTGGTGAAACTTTAAATGAAAAATGAAAGGAGTTTCTATAAAAAATACAGGTCTCACATTTTTAACAAAATTTTAAATGGCGAAGATTCAATTGTTTCCAGCGATATTGACATCAACTCGATAATTGTATGGATATAAATTTGACACTATCACGCCTACTGATGTAGAAAGATCATTTTCTTATTATAAACATATTTTATAATTAAGGTTAGGTTTCACAGAAGCAAATTCAGCAATGTTTCTGGTAATAAATATGAATATTTAACACGTCTAAAAAGTGAATAAATTCAAATATTTTATCAATTTTACGTTATTTATTTCACAACTTCTTGATTATTTTATTGTGTGAACCACAAGCGAATCGAGGATTTAATTTTGGTGGAGGCTTCAGTCCGGAAGCTTTTTTTTCATATATAACGATAATTACTTTGGAAAAACAGAAAGATACTAACTTCCAATATGAAATGGTGTTTAAGTGATTCTTGAAGCCCTATTAAATGTAATTAAACAAGCAATAATATTTTAAGACATAATTTTTAAATTTTTTTTGCCATAAAACATGGTTACATTTTACCATTTAGCTCAGAAACTACCATTTAGGCTTCAGCTCGAAAACTCCCCCCCCTCCCCCCCGTATATCCGGATGTGGTGTGAACAAAGACTCATGTTAGATTTTTATCCATTTACATGCAAAATTTTAAAGTGGTTACATAGTTATTGTTTAATATTTGTTATCTTTTATAACTATGCTTATGGAACTATGTGTTAAGACAATTATATTTTTTTTCATTTGTATATAGTTTGATATTTAAATTGTTTAATGTTAACGAAAACAAATTATGAAGGGATTGAAAATTACAATATTTTCAGTTTTTTTTTTTTGTTTTTTTTGTTTTTTAACATCTAAACTAAAGAAAGAAAATAACTAAACATATACGGCTAATAAATTTATTATATACATGTATACATTATAATGGTAACGAAAGCGTAATATGAATTCCGTAATTTTCGATCATATTACGCTTTCGTTACCAATATAATATATATATATATGTATATTATAAATTTATTAGCCTTATATGTTTAGTTATTTTCTTTCTTTAGTTTAGATGTTAAAAACAAAACAAAAAAAAAAAAAGAATTATTGTAATTTTCAATCCCTCCATAATTTGTTTTCATTTCAAATTTCGCACGTCGTTATATTTAAATACGTTATTGCTTTATTAGTAATTAAATAATTAGTAAGTTTAGTATATTAGGAGCAATTACTGCATTTTTCGAGTTTTTTTTACTGTATATTTAGCAGCATATTTCAGGGTTTTTTAGCAATTACTGCATACTTTATGGCATAATCTGTGGTTCTTTACTGCTTAAAAATCCGGGTCTTGCTCATTACAAAGAAGATAAAATGCTAAGCATTTCCCTAGCTAATAATATGAAGGTCCGATTTTTAGTTTCTGAGATATTTTAATCTGATTGCAAAAATGAGTCGACTCGAGCAGAATTTACACGAATGAGCGTTACATAGATGCCTGACGGCTCAGCCTCATTCAATGATCACAAATAAAGTACTAAACACGCCTAACGAAGTTTTTATTTAAAAAAAATTAAGCTTATGGATGTCCGTTCAATTAGAATCGTTTAATGTGGCAGTAGATCAAAGCCATCTAAACTACCTAAGGTCAACATAATCTGCATGACTTGTTCCAAATCCCGCAAACCCTTTGTAAATCAT